ACTAATGTGTAATACATTTATCTAATTTATGGATTGTAGATGTGGATCTTAGGGAATCCAGTGAAGATTGAAGGTACTGGCTTCATTAATAAAAGGGCTATATATATATATATATATATTTGTAATCATGCATGTTCTGTTATCATTTTCCTGCTATTGTGGTTGACTCCAACAAGGCAACAGGCATATTGGCATAGCAAAGACAGAGGTGTGTATAATATATTACCATTTTAATTTATGCATTCTGAATTGTCTCAAAGGCTTTAACTAGCAAGTTTACCATAAGGACATGCTTTGCATAAATGTGCATCTCCTGCATAGAATTTGAGATGAAAGTAGAAGTTTTAAACCATTAGATACCCCTTATTTGGATGATAGAGATTAGATTCTACATAAATTATAGTGGCCAAACCTAAGGGAGCTCCTATTTCTCAGGTTGATCTATCAACATTTGATGGAGGTCTGTTTACTTTTTCAATGCACTTACAATTCCAAGTTGACCAATCCCTTCCCTGCCTTGAGCCTTTCTTGGGAAATGGCAAGATACCTTGGACCCCTTAGTTTCTCCAATACCCCATTTCCTTTTTGTCTTTGATCAATGAAAGGAATAACAGGGCGCATTTGGTTCCCCTTATGGTTCTTGCTGGATGTTTCTTGTGCCACATATCTCATAGGATTGATCATGTTAGAAAATGAGAATTTGTTAGATTTATTTGACAGATATTAAATGGGCAATTGTGCATCAAGAGTCTCTGTGGTGTGTTAACCTTGGTTCATTCACCATAATTGCAGATTCTATTGGTAAATCTAGATATGTAAAGCTTACATCAAGGCATACAGGGCGTCCTGATCTTGTAAGTGCATGAATTGTGGTCATTGGAGGGTGTTTGTTAAAAAGTGCATAAAACTTTAAAACAACAGAGAAGCTTTTGGAAAAACTTGGTGCTGCAGGTAGATATCCATAACACTTTTACTTCCATTGCCTAGGACTGAATTTTTCATAGTACTTGCCATTCTATTTGTCATTACTTTTTTGGAAGAGAGAAGTTTCATCTTTTTAAATTCCTACCAGCATTAAAGAGCTTAATGGTGGGTTTTCTTGTTTGTAGATTTTAAGAACTCCCTGTCTTCCTTCCTGAACTCCTACAAGTATGAAATAGTCATACTGATTCTTTCTTTTTATGGTAATAGTTATTATATTAGTAATTTTGATATTTTCTCTTTGTTTAGTTGGTGCTTCCCAAGCTGCTGTGGATGCTGGATTTGTTCCCAGTGACATCTAGGGTAGATTGCTTTGAAGAAGTCTGGTTTTGATATCACCCATCTTCAACCAAGCAAAAAAGGGGGGAAATAGAAAAGATTTGATAGACTAAATGATCAATTATAAAGTGTTTTAGTGCAAGTATTCAAAACAAACAGATAATACAGAGTGCTTGAGCACATTACTTTCTCTTTCATACCATTGTGGCTGGAAGTGCTTGCAACATTGCTTTCTGAGATGCCTTTTCCCTTTATTTTGTTTATCCCCTTTTTTTTTTTTTTTCTGTGCAAACTTCACGTTGTGTTTGAAAAACATAAAAATATCTTCTTGTGTTTGGATGAAAATTTCACTACATGTGCAATTGAACCAAACTGTGAAATGGCTTGAAAGGCCATTATATCTGTTGTGAGTCCTCTGCCATTAGTTATCATATTGTACTGTTCTATCTTACATGTTTGTCTGCCTAATATAAGTTCATGATTGCTTTTGTTCTCAGGTTGGTCAAACTGGAAAAAACGTAGCCCTAGAGTGATACATGACATTTGGTGTTTCAGGAGCCATCCAACATTTAGCTGGCATGAAAGATTCGAAAGTTTCCAGGTAGCTATCGGAACCCTTCTCTCTCAGCACCCACACATCCAAACATAAACAGGCACTCAAAGGAGGCAATAGCTTAAATTATGACTTTTTAAGTTGTAATTTGTAGTGAGTACAAAACTGACTGGCTGCTTGAGCCCTAGCAAGTTGATAGGATTGCATTTTATAGATGCTAAAAGAAATAAGAAGCTTCTGGGAATTGAATCTGGGTGGTAAGTTTTCTAAATAATCATAGTTTTGCTTGAGTTGAGCTTGTAGTGGCAAATCTCTATGTTATAGGCAGCAAGCACATTGATTTTATGCTCAACGATCCTTGAAATATAAGGCAAAACCAAATAATGTGTATGTTTAGCTCAGATTCAGCTTTCCAACTCTGCAAAACTTGCTTTGCATTTTACCTTTAAGAAGCCTGTTGACAGATATCCTAGACTTCTACCATGTGTATTGTGCATTTTCGTGATTAATGAACTCTTGGAAATGAAGGTAGCTGATGAACTGATACCAGAGTTGTTAGAGAAGCCTCCTGAGAAAAATTAGGCCTTCCAGCTGCCCTACCTTTGAATAATGTAATGTAGCGTCCTGTATTTTGCTCTGCATCACTTGTTTGGTAAAATAACGGTTTTAGGAATTACTGGAATTGCATATTTGATAAAGTATTGACTAAAGTTACGTGCAATGCAAAGATGGTTAAAAACTAGTTAGTCTGAGTAAATAAATATGAATGCAGAGAGTACATGCTTGACTTTCAATTGCTTTGTGATGCATCTTCATTTTCGTTTCAGGTCTGTGGGTTTATGAAAAATGGTGCTTTTTGAATACCTAGAAGAGACTTGAATATACAAAAATGAAAACCAAAACCATTACTATTACCATTACCAGCAACAAATCAACTTCAAAGCCCACGTCAGTCATTGACTTGACTGTACAAAAAGGAAAACCAATCCAAATTAAAAATGGTAGTACAACATAACCCCTTTCGCAAGTGGAATTGAAGGCATCTCGAGATTCGATCAGCATCCAAACTCCAAATTAACCCAGATAGCGACGAGCAAGAGAATGGTGAAATCCAAATTGAACTAAGAAACACCTCTTAATTCTGTCAATCTGCAGCTTTTTGAACACTCCCCTGGCTTAAACATTATCGGCTATGCTTGCTTCTCCGTTCTGATTGCAATTGCGATTGAATTGGGTTTTCAGAAAGCCAGTTACAGGCTCAATTGCAGACACAATTGAATCCCGCATCTCTTCGTAGGATTCCCAAGCCCACTTTACGAAGAAGAAGAACCATACGATAAACACCGCCCATCCAATGTAAGGCTCGATGATCAAAAGCAGCGGGATTAGACTTAGATATCCGATGAAGAGGCAGACCGTGCTCAAAATCGCCGGGCAGCCTGAACCGGCAGCTTCGAGCTTGATTCCGATTCCCAGTAATACGGTAAAGATGAGGATGACAGTGAAAAATGCTATGAAGTGGAGCCTGTGCGTCGCGAAAGGGGGTTGGTTCGCTGAGTGGAATCTTAGTTGTAAGAGGGTGACCAATATCGAGACGAGGGTGCCCAAAAGCCCGAGCAATTTTCCAGCCAATCTCCTACCACAGGAAGAAAAGGGGAAAAAAAAATTAGTGCATAAAGAAGTTGGATTTTTTACGGTACAGTGTATAGGCTTAGTTGTAGTTTTTGACTTCTAATTTTAATTTTGAGAATATTTATCAGCTTTATTTTAAAAAATTAAGTAAAAAAATATTTTAAAACTACATTGTATTCATAAAATCTTATT